GTGACCATCCATTTTTTTTTTTTTTATTTTTTTTTTACTGAGCTGTTAAAGCAATTTGGTTTCATAAATTGTATCAATAATTACCACCGGAAAACCTATAATTGTGGAAAAATTACTTGATGAAAATTTAAAACAGAAGAGGAATTGAAAATTGAAATCAAAAATATTTACACTATTTCTATTTGATCTATTGTCCTCGTCTTTGCTGTTCTTTCACAACATTTCGACTGTTGTGCCCTCTGGCCTTCCTCAGGTTTAGCACTGCTGGTCTTCTATGTAAGCTTCAGGGCTATGGTATTACAGGATGATTATTTGATTTAATCCACTCTTTCCTATCAAATGATGAAATGAAGGTTGTTTGGAATGAGCTCATTTCTAGATCCTTCTACATGAACATGGGTGTCTCCCCCAAGGCTCTATCCTAGGCCCTATGCTGTTTCTGATCTTTTTCAATGATCTTCCTGATGTAATCAGTTCCCAATGCAGATGGTACTAACATTTACTCCTGTCTCAATAGCAAATCTTTCAGAGATGACAAAGTTAACCTGGCCATTACTCTTGAAAAGGACCTCTGATCAGTGGTTAACTGGGGCAGGAAATGGCTTGTAAATTTTAATTCCTCGAAAACTAAACTGCTCTTATTTAACTACCTTAGAGAAACTTCCTTGCCTGCCTGTCTTCTTGGCCTCGTGTTTTCTTGAAGTAGAAGAGTTAAATTGAATCAGTAGCTGCATCTACTGCAAGGAAAGTTAGTTCATTGTGTCATACCAGAAGGTTTTACTTGTCAGAGTTCATCTTAAATATTTACAAATTTACCATTTGTCCATGCATTGAATACTGTTACCATATCTGAATTCCATCCTTTTACTGTTGAAATAGTTAAATGTAACTGTCACTTCTACCCCAACATTTTTTTGCACTTCCCAACAGAGGAACACCCTTCCTCTTACTTGCTTCCCTGATAACTACAATCTTCAAAAATTTAAATGCATTGTCAATCACCATCTTCTGTCGTTTTGAACCCCGTTCATCTTTTATCCTTTCCTCAATCCTTGCTATACCCAGTCTTTTCTCTCACTTTCTGTTGTAGAGTAGTTTCACAGTGGAGGCTTGTATTTCACTAAGTTGGTCCTAAAAAGGTTCAATGTACAAAACGTTAGGAACTTGTTATAATAGTTAATGACGCAGCAATCTAGTTGTGGTGATTGATATTTTAATGTCCGACATTGACTGTCTCACCAACTCACTATGCGACTGCTACTACTACTACTTATTATATGTGGGAGAGTCTATTAACAATAGAATAGGTATGTTCCAGTATAACACTTTCACTCTCTCTAACTCCCTGCATACTAGTGGCACTCCTGCCGTGCTGAGAGTGAAATGCTTAACAAATAAAAGAAGTACTGCTGTGTTATTGCTTTCACTTTTCCACTGAGTGTAAAAATACTCACAAGCAAAGATGAGTACACTAGTCCAAATATAAATGGTGTAAATAATGATAACTCCTCATCCCAGAAATTCAGACTGAAATGAACATGTTAAACATATGACCTTGGTCTTTAAAAACTCCTGATAGGAGTATTTGCTTAGATTTGAAAAACCCATCATTTTAAAAAAAAAAAAATTTTTATTAAAGTTTTTGTGATACTTGTAATTTAATATTCTCAGGTTAAACATACTATTTTATTTGTATTAATTCTTTGCATTACAAATTGTCCAGTTCAGGTAGGTAAGACAGGTATGATGAGTTGCCTTCTGTTTACCTGACATAACCTGACATCCATTTATTCAAGCTCATCAAATAGGTAATGTGTTGTTTTCCTCTGTCCCTCTTGTTCTCAGTCTTTCATGTGAGTATCAAATTTTCCAAACCCTCCTTCTTCAATACATGCTCCAGAAATTCCAACTGCCTCTTCCTGAAGTATGTTTTCTTTTTTGTTTTCATTTTCTCAAAAACATTGTTGCTCACATGATCAGTCCATGGTATTCTCAGCATCTTTCTGTAGAACCACATTTCTGTTGCTTCAAGTCTCTTCTTCATCTTTGAGGAGATTGTTCAGCATTCACTGCCATAGAGGACAGATATTATGTAACAGTTCAATACTCTTTTCTTTGTTTTTAGGGAAATTTGGAATGCATCTTTGGTTATCCCAATATGTCTTTGGATCTGTGTCACACTTTCTGTCCTCTGTTAGAACGCTTCCCAGATATTTACATTTTTGTACTTGTTTCATTTTAGTAACCCAATTTTGTTATCACTTTTTTTATTAAATTAAAAAGATTAAAATTTCATTTCCCAACAATGTAAACATCAATTTATCCTGATGAAGTAAGTCCTAAAGGATGAAATGTATCACATATATCATATTCTCTCCTATATTGTGTGTGGAAAAGTTTTTTTAATGACAACGCATTTTGCCTTTGTGTTCTAAGTTGGTGTCTTCAGGTCAGAATCTAATGCAAGAAGGTGAAATGAGTTGTCATTAATAAAAAATGTCTCCTTTTTCCACTTTTATTTGGATACCATTCCATTGGATTATCTGGAAAGTTCTTGCCGATTTTTAGTTGTTTCTGTTCCAACACATTAGAAGATGTCAAATTTATCGACAGATATGTTTACATTTTCAATTAGAACACATTTCAAGCTATCTCTTGAGAAAGAAAGTTTAAAATTACTTAATTTGTGTCAATTTAGCATCCCTATGAAAATAGAAGATTATAAAGGGCATTTTAGACACTTGATGCTTTTTTTCCCTGTAAAGACAAAAATGCTTTGCAAGCAACAAAAAAAATATGTGCTGTGTATGGTGAAGGTTCTTCAGCTGACAGGACTGTATGAAAGTGGTTTGCTAAATTTAGAGTTAGTGATTGTAGCTTTATTGATGAAGAATGCTCAGGAAGACCCCCCCCAATACAGATAATGACCAAATCAATACATTGATTGAGAATAACCTGCATTACACACTGCAAGAATTAGCAGAAACACTAAATTTATGAAAATCCACCATCCATGAGCATTTAGTGAAACTTCGGTAGTCAAATCACTACAAAGTTTGGGTACCACATGAGCTGAGTAAAAACAATCTTTCGGATTGCATTTCATCTGTAATTTGGTATATAAATGCAATGAAAATGCCCCCTTTTTGAAGCAAGATGTAACTGGAGATGAGAAATAGATGGTTTACAACAATATTCGGTGAAAAAGATCCTGGGTAAGTGACATGAACTAACTTTAGCCATCTCAAAAGCAGGTCTTCATTCTAAGAAAGTCATGCTGTACATCTGGTGAGATTGGAAAGGAATCCTGTACTATGAGCTTCTGACAAGTAACCAGTCAATTGATTCTGAAAAGTACTGCTTGCAACTGGATAAAATTAAAAGCAGCAATTAAAGAAAAACACCCAGAATTGATGAACAGGAAAGGTGTTGTTTTCCACCAGGATAGTACCAGACCTCACATTTCTTTGGGGACTTGGCAAAAATTGTCGCAGCTTGTTTGGGATGTGTTTACCCACCCGCCATATTCATACCCCACCTGCCATATTCATACCCCACCCGCCATATTCACCAGACATTGCTCCTTTGGATTTTCATTTATTCAGGTCTTTGCAAAATAATCTCAATAGCAAATATTTAAATTCCTTAATGAGTTCTTTGCTGAGAAACCACCGGAATTCTGGGATGATGGAATCTTTAAGTTGAAGGAAAAATGGAGAAAGGTTGGGCAACAAAATGGTTCATATTTAATTGAATAAATACTTAATGGCATAATTTTGTTTTGTGTTTTAATTTCCCTTAAAAATTAGCATGAACTTTTCAGACAACCCAATACATCCTACTAACACACATATATATCGTCGGCTATTCCTGATTTTAAAAAATTTAATTCCCGTGTTATACTCGTCCTTTTTCAATTCCCATGTCTTTGACTTCAGTATTTGGTAAGACCGGTCATTGCATGGAAGATTTGTCCACACAGGTTATATAGATACATATATAATGGTTACCAAGTACATATATACATTCGTATACACTATTAGCAGGCCTACCTGGAATTGTCAGGGTTTAAATATGTCCTGGCTTATAGCCAAATCATATTGAAACACTGGTTCTTGTAGGATCACCCACTAAGCAACATTGAGCTTGGTCAGTACTTAGAAGGGCGACCAATTGGAAAAACCAAGTTCTGTAAGCTTGGATGTACAGGTGGTGAAATGGATAATGGCTTGAAATTGGAAATCAAAGAGTTGGGTTCCAATTCCTGTTGAGTTCGTTATATTCACTTATGTGCAAATACCTTTTAGGAAAGGTATGAATCCAACTCTTCTCCCTCCAGCTGTGGGTTAATTAGTAGGATTAGTAGTAAATAATTATTATCTCAAAAAAAAAATATATTAAAAAAAAAATCATTTAATGTTTTATTTCTTTTGCATGCATACTAGTTGGATAGATGTGGGAAGAGTGGGACAGATGATCAGATAGGCATGAGTAGAATGGGACAGATGGTCGAATAGGTGTGGGGGGAAAACAGGACGGGTGGTTGGATAGTTGTGGGGAGAGTGGGACGGGTGATCAGATAGGTGTGGGGAAAGTGGGACGGGATTGGATAGGTGTAAGTAGCGCGAGACAGATGGTCAAATAATTGTGGGGAGAGTGGGACAGGTTGTTGGCTAAGTGTGGGAAGAGTGAGGCAGATGGTTGGATAAGCATGAGTAGAGCGGGAGAAATGGTTGGATAGGTGTGGAGAGAGTGGGACAGATGGTCAGCTAGGCATGGGAAGAGTGGGACAGGTAGTTAGCTAGGTGTGGGAAGAGTGGAACAAACAGATATGAAGAGACCAAGATAGCTTTTTTTACATACCTTAGCTTTATCTAACAGGACTGAAAATAGTAATACTACTAATAAGAATCAAATGTTTTATACAAACAGTGATCTACCAAACTAGCTTGAAACCTATCACTATATCTATCTTTATATATAGATTGGTTGGAGTTTGGATGAAAGATAGCTGGGAGCAGGAACTTGGCAGTTCTGTTTAGTTAGATTGTATGTTTATTTTAGAAGAGAACTTGTAATACCTGTCTATTAAATGTCAGATTGACATAGATCTGAAGAGACCTGCATGCAAAAAAGAAAAAGAAAGAAGAGATTACTTGTCAGACACTGTCTATTTAATTTCTCTTCTGTCTCTATATCTCTAGTTTGTTTTTACATCTGGCAGAATCATTGTGTTAGAGTATTTCAGAAATGGGTTCTGCTAAAAAAAGAATTTTTTTTTTTCAGAGTCACACCCATTTAAGAGCTTCTCTCTCTCACTCTCACCTTATAAATTATTTTCTCCTTCTTTTTTTTTTTTTTTTTTTTTTGTTTATTTTGTGAATGTTTTCTTTAGTTTCTTCTTTCTTTCATATTGTAAATATATTCCCTCCCCCTCAATTTCTTTTCTCTCTTTTTCTTTTCTCTCACTCTTTCGTCATATAAATGCTCTCCTCCTTGGTTTTTTTCTCTCTTTCCTTTGCAGTATTTTCTCTTTCTTAATTTCTTCTCTCTATCTCTCTCCCTCTCACCTAATAAATTTATTCTCTCTTCTTCAGTTCCTTCTCTCTGTTTCTCTTGCACTATCTTTTGCATTATAAATTCTCTCCTTCTTTCTCCTCTCTCTTTAATCTTATAATTTCTATCATTTTTTAGTTTCTCTATCTCACATTATAAATATATATTCACTCTTTTTCTTTCTTTCCTATCTTAAATTTCATCTGTCTCTCTTTTGATGTATTTTCAGCTAGGGAATTCTCTCTTCCTTAATTTCTTCTCTCTGTCTTTCTCCCTCTCCTAACTTATTCTCTTTTCTTCTTCTTCTCTCTCTCTCTCTCACTGTCTTAATTTCTTCTCTCTTTTATTGTATTTTTAGCTAATGAATTCTCTCTTCGTTAATTTCTTCTCTCTGTCTTTCTCTCTCTCCTAACTTATTCTCTTTTCTTCTTCTCTCTCTCTCTCACTGTCTTAATTTCTTCTCTCTTTTATTGTATTTTCAGCTAAGGAATTCTCTCTTCGTTAATTTCTTCTCTCTTTCTCTCTCTCCTAACTTATTCTCTTTTCTTCTTCTCTCTCTCTCTCTCTCTCTCTGTCTTAATTTCTTCTCTCTTTTATTGTATTTTCAGCTAAGGAAATCTCTCTTCCTTAATTTCTTCTCTCTGCCTTTCTCCCTCTCCTAACTTATTCTCTTTTCTTCTTCTGTCTCTCTCTCACTGTCTTAATTTCTTCTTCTGTCTCCCTCCTTCTCACCTAATAAATTTATTATCTTTTCTTTTCTCTCTCTCTCTCTCTTGCACTGTCTTAATTTCTTCTGTCTCTCTTTTAATGTATTTTTCAGCTAATGAATTCTTTCTTCATTAATTTCTGTTTATCTGTCTCTCTCTCTCTCTCTCTCACACATTTATTCTCTCTTCTTCAGTTTCTACTCTTTCTCTTGCACTATCTTTTTTATTATAAATTCTCTTCTTGGTTATTTTCTTTCTCTCTCATCTTATAAATATATGTTCACTCTTTGCAATTTCTTTTCTCTCTCTCTCTGGCTAGCTTTGTTTCTTCTGTCTCTCTTTTGATGTATTTTTCATCTAATTCTCTTCCTTTTCTCTCCTAATATATTCTCTCTTCTTCAGTTCCTTCTCTTTCTCTTGCACTATCTTTTGACTTTTAAAAAACCTCTCATTGGTTTCTTCTGTCTCTCTTTCACTTTATAATTTCTACCTTCTTCATTCTCTCTTTTTCTCTTCTTAGAAATATATAGTCCTCTTTTCAATTTCTTTTTCTTCTCTCTCTCTGGCTCTTTTGTTTCTTCTGTCTCTCTTTTGATGTATTTTTCATCTAATTCTCTTCCTTTTCTCTCCTTATATTTCTCTTCTTCAGTTCCTTCTCTTTTCTTGCACTATCTTTTGTCATTGGTTTCTTCTGTCTCTTTTTCTTTATAATTTCTACCTTCTTCTTCTTTTTTTCTCTTCTTAGAAATATAATACTCTTTTTATTTCTTTTCTCTTCTTCAGCTTTTGTTTCTTCTGTTCCTTTTGATGTATTTTCATCTTTCTCTTCCTAATATATCTCTCTTCTTCAGTTCCTTCTCTTTCTCTTGCACTATCTTTTGACTTTTAAAAAACCTCTCATTGGTTTCTTCTGTCTCTCTTTCACTTTATAATTTCTACCTTCTTCATTTCTCTTTTTCTCTTCTTAGAAATATATAGTCACTCTTTTTCAATTTCTTTTTTCTCTCTCTGGCTAGCTTTGTTTCTTCTGTCTCTCTTTTGATGTATTTTTTCATCTAATTCTCTTCCTTTTCTCTCCTAATATATTCTCTCTTCTTCAGTTCCTTCTCTTTCTCTTGCACTATCTTTTGACTTTTAAAAAACCTCTCATTGGTTTCTTCTGTCTCTTTTCACTTTATAATTTCTACCTTCTTCATTCTCTCTTTTTCTTCTTAGAAATATATAGTCACTCTTTTCAATTTCTTTTTCTCTCTCTCTGGCTAGCTTTTTTCTTCTGTCTCTCTTTTGATGTATTTTTTCATCTAATTCTCTTCCTTTTCTCTCCTAATATATTCTCTCTTCTTCAGTTCCCTCTTTCTCTTGCACTATCTTTTTTGACTTTTAAAAACCTCTCATTGGTTTCTTCTGTCTCTCTTTCACTTTATAATTTCTACCTTCTTCATTCTCTCTTTTTCTCTTCTTAGAAATATATAGTCACTCTTTTCAATTTCTTTTCTCTCTCTCTCTGGCTAGCTTTGTTTTCTTCTGTCTCTCTTTTGATGTATTTTTCATCTAATTCTCTTCCTTTTTCTCCTAATATATTCTCTCTTCTTCAGTTCCTTCTCTTTCTCTTGCACTATCTTTTGACTTTTAAAAACCTCTCATTGGTTTCTTCTGTCTCTCTTTCACTTTATAATTTCTACCTTCTTCATTCTCTCTTTTTTCTCTTCTTAGAAATATATAGTCACTCTTTTCAATTTCTTTTTTCTCTCTCTCTGGCTAGCTTTGTTTCTTCTGTCTCTCTTTTGATGTATTTTTCATCTAATTCTCTTCCTTTTCTCCTAATATATCTCTCTTCTTCAGTTCCTTCTCTTTCTCTTGCACTATCTTTTGACTTTTAAAAAACCTCTCATTGGTTTCTTCTGTCTCTCTTTCACTTTATAATTTCTACCTTCTTCATTCTCTCTTTTTCTCTTCTTAGAAATATATAGTCACTCTTTTCAATTTCTTTTCTCTCTCTCTCTGGCTAGCTTTGTTTCTTCTGTCTCTCTTTTGATGTATTTTTCATCTAATTCTCTTCCTTTTCTCTCCTAATATATTCTCTCTTCTTCAGTTCCTTCTCTTTCTCTTGCACTATCTTTTGACTTTTAAAAAACCTCTCATTGGTTTCTTCTGTCTCTCTTTCACTTTAAAAACCTCTCATTGGTTTCTTCTGTCTCTCTTTTGATGTATTTTTCACTTTATAATTTCTACCTTCTTCATTCTCTTTTTTTTCTTTTCTTAAAAATATATTGGTTTCTTCTGTCTCTTTTCAATTTTTTCTCTTTTTTCTCTCTGGCTAGCTTTTGTTTCTTCTGTCTCTCTTTTGATGTATTTTTCATCTAATTCTCTTCCTTTTTCTCCTAATATATTCTCTCTTCTTCAGTTCCTTCTCTTTCTCTTGCACTATCTTTTGACTTTTTTAAAAACCTCTCATTGGTTTCTTCTGTCTCTCTTTCACTTTATAATTTCTACCTTCTTCATTCTCTCTTTTTCTCTTCTTAGAAATATATAGTCACTCTTTTCAATTTCTTTTTTCTCTCTCTCTGGCTAGCTTTGTTTCTTCTGTCTCTCTTTTGATGTATTTTTTCATCTAATTCTCTTCCTTTTCTCTCCTAATATATTCTCTTCTTCAGTTCCTTCTCTTTCTCTTGCACTATCTTTTGACTTTTAAAAACCTCTCATTGGTTTCTTCTGTCTCTCTCTTTCACTTTATAATTTCTACCTTCTTCATTCTCTCTTTTTCTCTTCTTAGAAATATATAGTCACTCTTTTCAATTTCTTTTCTCTCTCTCTCTGGCTAGCTTTGTTTCTTCTGTCTCTCTTTTGATGTATTTTTCATCTAATTCTCTTCCTTTTCTCTCCTAATATATTCTCTCTTCTTCAGTTCCTTCTCTTTCTCTTGCACTATCTTTTGACTTTTAAAAAACCTCTCATTGGTTTCTTCTGTCTCTCTTTCACTTTATAATTTCTACCTTCTTCATTCTCTCTTTTTCTCTTCTTAGAAATATATAGTCACTCTTTTCAATTTCTTTTCTCTCTCTCTCTGGCTAGCTTTGTTTCTTCTGTCTCTCTTTTTGATGTATTTTTCATCTAATTCTCTTCCTTTTCTCTCCTAATATATTCTCTCTTCAGTTCTCTCTTTCTCTTGCACTATCTTTTGACTTTTAAAAACCTCTCATTGGTTTCTTCTGTCTCTCTTTCACTTTATAATTTCTACCTTCTTCATTCTCTTTTTCTCTTCTTAGAAATATATAGTCACTCTTTTCAATTTCTTTTCTCTCTCTCTCTAGCTTTTGTTTCTTCTGTCTAATTTTGATGTATTTTTCATCTAATTTCTTCCCTTTTCTCTCCTAATATATTCTCTCTTCTTCAGTTCCTTCTCTTTTCTTGCACTATCTTTTGACTTTTAAAAAACCTCTCATTGGTTTCTTCTGTCTCTCTTTCACTTTATAATTTCTACCTTCTTCATTCTCTCTTTTTCTCTTCTTAGAAATATATAGTCACTCTTTTCAATTTCTTTTCTCTCTCTCTCTGGCTAGCTTTGTTTCTTCTGTCTCTCTTTTGATGTATTTTTCATCTAATTCTCTTCTTTTTTCTCTCCTAATATATTCTCTCTTCTTCAGTTCCTTCTCTTTCTCTTGCACTATCTTTTGACTTTTTTAAAAACCTCTCATTGGTTTCTTCTGTCTCTCTTTCACTTTATAATTTCTACCTTCTTCATTCTCTCTTTTCTCTTCTTAGAAAATATAGTCACTCTTTTCAATTTCTTTTCTCTCTCTCTCTGGCTAGCTTTGTTTCTTCTGTCTCTTTGATGTATTTTCATCTAATTCTCTTCCTTTTCTCTCCTAATATATTCTCTCTTCTTCAGTTCCTTCTCTTTCTCTTGCAATTATCTTTTGACTTTTTAAAAAACCTCTCATTGGTTTCTTCTGTCTCTCTTTCACTTTATAATTTCTACCTTCTTCATTCTCTCTTTTCTCTTCTTAGAAATATATAGTCACTCTTTTCAATTTCTTTTTCTCTCTCTCTCTGGCTAGCTTTTGTTTCTTCTGTCTCTCTTTTGATGTATTTTTCATCTAATTTCTTCCTTTTCTCTCCTAATATATTCTCTCTTCTTCAGTTTCCTTCTCTTTCTCTTGCACTATCTTTTGACTTTTTAAAAACCTCTCATTGGTTTCTTCTGTCTCTCTTTCACTTTATAATTTCTACCTTCTTCATTCTCTTTTTTTCTTCTTAGAAATATATTCACTCTTTTCAATTTCTTTTCTCTCTCTCTCTGGCTAGCTTTTTTCTTCTGTCTCTCTTTTGATGTATTTTTTTCATCTAATTCTCTTCCTTTTCTCTCCTAATATATTCTCTCTTCTTCAGTTCCTTCTCTTTCTCTTGCACTATCTTTTGACTTTTAAAAAACCTCTCATTGGTTTCTTCTGTCTCTCTTTCACTTTATAATTTCTACCTTCTTCATTCTCTCTTTTTCTCTTCTTAGAAATATATAGTCACTCTTTTCAATTTCTTTTTCTCTCTCTTCTTTTTCTGTCTCTCTTTTGATGTATTTTTCATCTAATTCTCTTCCTTTTCTCTCCTAATATATTCTCTCTTCTTCAGTTCCTTCTTTTCTCTTCTATCTTTTGACTTTTAAAAACCTCCATTGGTTTCTTCTGTCTCTCTTTCACTTTATAATTTCTACCTTCTTCATTCTCTCTTTTTCTCTTCTTAGAAATATATAGTCACTCTTTTCAATTTCTTTTCTCTCTCTCTCTGGCTAGCTTTGTTTCTTCTGTCTCTCTTTTGATGTATTTTTCATCTAATTTCTTCCTTTTCTCTCCTAATATATTCTCTCTTCTTCAGTTCTTTCTTTCTCCCTATCTTTTGACTTTTTAAAAAAACCTCTCATTGGTTTCTTCTGTCTCTCTTTCACTTTATAATTTCTACCTTCTTCATTCTCTCTTTTTCTTCTTAGAAATATATACTCTTTTCAATTTCTTTCTCTCTCTCTCTGGCTAGCTTTGTTTTTCTGTCTCTCTTTTGATGTATTTTTCATCTAATGAATTCTCTCTTCATTAATTTCTTATCTCCATTTCAGTTTATAATTTTATTCTGTACACTTATTTCTTCTTTTTTCTCTCTCTTGCAGCATCTTTAACTTTATAAATTCCTTTTTTCCTTTTGCTCTTCTCTCTCCCCCTCTCCCACACAATATCTCTCACATTATAACTCTATTCTTTCTCCTCTCCTTCTTCTTGACTCCGTTCTCTCCTCCCCCTCTCTTTCTTCCCGACTCCGTTCTCTCCTCACCCTCTCTTTCTTCCCGACTCCGTTCTCTCCTCACCCTCTCTTTCTTTCTCGTTCTCCTCACCCTCTCTTTCTTCCCGACTCCGTTCTCTCCTCACCCCTCTCTTTCTTCCCCGACTCCGTTCTCTCCTCACCCTCTCTTTCTTCCCGACTCCGTTCTCTCCTCCTCTCTTTCTTCCCGACTCCGTTCTCTCACCCTTTCTTTCCTCACCCCTCTCGTTCTTCCCTCGTTCTCCCCTCTCTTTCTTCCCGACTCCGTTCTCTCCTCACCCTCTCTTTCTTCCCGACTCCGTTCTCTCCTCACCCTCTCTTTCTTCCCGACTCCGTTCTCTCCTCACCCTCTCTTTCTTCCCGACTCCGTTCTCTCCTCACCCTCTCTTTCTTCCCGACTCCGTTCTCTCCTCACCCTCTCTTTCTTCCTCACTTACACTGTTTCTCTCATTTGCATTTGATAGCTTTTCTTTAATTACTTCCAAGATGTTTTGACTCCCCTTTCCCCCTCACTGTAATTATCTCATAATTTTACTCTACTATTTTAATTATATAAATATGAGGGGAACACCTTGTGCTGCTTTAGTTAGAAAGTTTCATGGGTAACTTACACTGACTTCATTACCTACATTATTTTTATTATGGCTCTGTTCCACAATTTCAAAATATATTAAGCTATACATATATATATACTTATATTTCTCCTACTTTTTTTCCCTATGATAATTTTATCAATAGTAAATCAATTCTTTTAAATGTAGTAGAACCCCCCACCGTTTACAAGCTTCTAAGTTATCATTTCGCTTACCTGCAACTTGCTCAATCAGCCAAATTTTTCATGTTCAAAACTTTTATTAAGCTACAGGATTAGAATTCTTTATACAAAGTTGTTGGGACCAGAAATCTTTCAGTTTTCAGATTTTTTTTTTATTTTGGATTACAGGCTATTTACTTTTTATATAGCATCTATAAAATAGGGCAGCTTGGGAATGGAACCCAAGTTAAACATGATTACATTTCATAACACAACTTATATATATATACCCTGAAGATATATAAAATTTAATAAATTTTGTGTGCATACAGATACCGGTAATGACACTAGTCATGTAATACTCACACCTATTTTCAAGTGATGTGATATGTCCCAGAAAGGGATATATTTATTTGAAGTAGCAAAGTGGTTTTGGACTACTGTAACCGAGTAGGACAATCTAGCAGGAAGCCATAATGAACTGTTCCTCGTTGTAGTGGTAGGCAATAGGCGTAGACAATAGGTGTCGACCCTGTACCTCCACATCAGTCTGTATTTATGGCTGACACCAGCCAATCATATTCCTGTGAATGGGAACCCAGGTGTATGCATATTCATTACATCATTATGAAATTAAGATTTCACACAAAAATAATGTTTTATACTTTCTGTATATGTACAAAAAAACATGATCACGACCTACAAAAAATCTGTATAATTGCAGGACTTTGACATTTTGAATAGTATCTTTACTGAGCATGAAACACCTGGTAAGTAATCCATGAGTGAAGGTTTTGCTGTGACGATCACTAACAAAAAACTGATGCCAATGTAGGCTATATAGCTGGGCTTTCTGAAATATTCAATTTTTGGCAAGTCATGTCAGCACATGAAAAACTTTCAGGTTTTGGAATTTCAGATAATGCATACCAAACTTATATTAATGCAAAATATATTTCCAATAAGAAGACTACATAAAATGTTAGAAATAAAACTATAATAATAATAGTATTTTGAAAATCTAAAACTATTAAATCTCCTTAAAGGCATCAAAGTCTGCGTTGTCAAATCCTGAGAAGAAAATCTTTAATTAATAATAAAAATGTTTAATTCATCTCATTTGTGGCATGAAGTTAAATATATTTTTAATGTAAGGGAGTTGTGTCTCTTTTATCTTAAATGGACTTATATTGTCTATTAAAAATACATTGTTAATTAATTAAAACAAACATTGATTGTAAAACACTCCAAATCCTTTATTAGTAGTATTATTTTTTGTGAAAAATTATTTTTTTCTTTCTATAAAACAACAAAAACTTCAGAAGATTAAAAAGAAATTTAATTACATTTTTAAAACAGGCTGTAAATTTACCATTGAAAAATTTTGGTTATACTATGTATATGGTTTGTTATCCTTTGTTTGTCAGTTATGACTGTTACATGACTGAAATACATTAGCCATCTTTTAACTGTGCTCACGTGAACTGTTTGGTCTTCATAAGCATTCAGTAAATATTGATGAATATCAGTGGGTGTATTTTTTTTTTTTTTTTTTATTATAGACTTTGATGTTCTATATCATTTTATCCAGATTGCCAGTCATATGCTACTGGAATAAGAAAAAATGATTATGGGTTATTTCCTGGAAACTTCAACTGGTTTGGCTATATCAGCAATATCCACCTATGATGAGGTGGAACAGAAAATAATGTCAGAGACATTACTTTTTGAGCAACACTCATACCTTCACACACACACACACACACACACACACACACACAAGAAAGTAAAAAGAAGTTTAAAATGCAACTGGAATATTTAAGAATATTTATTTAGAGTAACTTTGCCATTTTCACAGTTCTATGATTTTCAAAAGTTAAATTGAGATGGGGAGGTGTGTGTGGCTGTGCCGTGATATGTCTTGCATGCATGTATGCATATATATATATATATATATATATATAAAGTTATATTTAAGTAGCTAATTTTTTATTATATTTTCTAATTTTCCTATAAAATGTTGTACATCAATTGTGGATAAACTGTCCAAAGTTCATATTTCATTCTGTTTTTGTCCAAATATTTTAAAAACAGAATAAAACATGAATTTTGGATAAATTATGCACAGTTTCTTTGGTATACCATGTTTAAAGCTGTTTTTTGTGCCACAGTATCCATTATGTTGGTTCATACTTGGTGAGAAAGATTCTATTCATTTCTCACATCCGTAAATATTGGCTACATAATGCTTTCTTAGTGGTTGATGATTTTTCCTTCTTGAGACTATTACAAGATGTAAACAATAAATGAATGTGCTACTCCAACAGTTGAGCTATTTTGGAAATATTCATTCTGTGCCATAGCAATTTGGCTTTTATTAAAATTATTCAAATTTGACCTTTCCATAATTGTAGAAATTAATATGTCTGTCAGTCAAGGCTATTTTATATATATATATATATATATATATATATATATATATATATTCTGCATTTTGATATAGAGAGTTGTTAGGAGACAGTAGCTGATCTTTTTATCATGTTTAAAAAAAATTCTTTTTATCAAAGAGAAAGCTATCCAAAGATGTAGAAATGTTGGAGCACCAGATTAAGTGTTTGATAGTTTGAGATATATATATATATATATATATTTTTTGCACACATTTGTTTGTGTATAGGGGATCTTACATGCATATACACATGTTTGTGTATATAGGAGCATGCACATGTTTGTATATAGAAACATACATGCACACTCACATTTGTGTATATGAAAACATACACACACATACACATTTGTGTGTGTATATGGGAAAACACACACACACAAATATATATTTATGCACTGATGTGTAGCTATATAATATGGCAAATCACAGAACCATTCTTGTTGTTGTTTCAGGGCTAAATTCCAAGATAACAAAATATGGGCTTTTAACAATAACAGCAACAACAAAAAAGCCATATATCTAATATTTGAGGGTATGCTGAAAGGTTCTTGGCTACTTCTCAACAAAATACCAATTTTTTGGAAGGTCTCCTTAGTCAGGTTGAGAACTTATCAGTACGCTCTTTTAAAAAGCAGAATATGTAGATATGTAAATTTGGCTCTGTGTGTGTGAAGCCCAACTAATCATTAAAACCCAACCCTAGATCTTGTATTTCTGGTTACCAGCAATTGCTTTGTATATAATGCCCTGCTAGACACAATGAAGATCCTATGTCAATCTTTTTTGTAAATCCCATTTTTTTCACTCTGCTTCTGATCAGGTGCAGATTTTAAGACTTGCTTGTTCACCTTCTTTATCGCTTTGACACTCTCATTCTTTTTACTTTCTGTTTTTAATCTTTCTTTTTCTTCCCTCCTCTTTTTTTCCATTAGATTTTTCCTCTTTCACTTATGTTTTTTCCTTCTTTTTGTTTCACTCTCTTTACTTTTACTCTTTCTCTATTATCTCCTTTCTTTTAAAAATCCCTTCTCTTTTCTCTACTTCTTTCTTTATTTGTTTTGATCTTTCTTTTTATGACTCATTTATTCTTTTTCCCTCCCTTTTTTGTTCATTCTTTTCTTCCTCTCTCTCTTTGTCCTGTGTCGCTACTTTTTAAATCCATTATCATTATAACAGCAGCTGTATAAGACTCACAGCCAAATCGAAAGATCAATTATACAATAAATCTAATCTTTATTCCACAAAGTATTAACTTACTTCACTCATGTGACACACGGCTACTGCAACTGATCCACATCGACACAACAATGTCTTCTGCTGACATGCAAATCATTTTACCCTTTTCATTCTTATTTACTATATTTTTATTTTGTTACTTACATATCTTGAGTACTGCAGATTTTACAAGGATTAAACTTGATTGTAGATATCATGCCACGCTGAAGATGTAGACATCAGGTTGAGTAACGCTTTATGCTCTATCTTTACAAGAGTCAGATCAGACCAAAATTGCTGCCATAATCTGGGCTAGAGCTGCTCCGTCACTTTTCAGCCTTGACAAAGTTCAAAATCATTTATGCAGCTTTGTAGGTGACAAAATATTTTCTGCCATTGTAGTGATATCAGTTGTCAGCTGATATCTTGTTAAGGACACATCTACAGGATGTTAAAATCATTTTGACAATTATCATCTTGACAAAGAAGCTGAATAAAGTGGACTTTCCAAGAACCAGGTCAATCAACCCTTACAAAGAGGGTCAGCTGAGTGGAGCCAGATCCTGGGTTCTTGATGAATTACTTTTTTAGACAAAGCTGACAGGATAAAGAAGGCTTTTTCTCTATAAGACAGTAGTCCCTTAGAGACTAAACTAGAGGACTGCTCTCCCACCATGTGAAAGGAAGCCATATGCCAATTAGATTGTTCGCCTCCTCATTTCTCCTTGCTCGCCTACAGCTGGTCTTTCCAAGAAGGTAGAAACTGAATATCTTGACTATTGTAGATTTTACAAATATTATACTTGATTTGATATATTGTGCAAGACCCAAGATGTAGACATCAGGTCATGCTACACTTATTTATTGCCTAAGCATTTGAATACAAGGTAGTTCCTCTTGTTTCTTTCCATGGTAGCTGCTCAGGGTGATGTACACATCATGCAAGCATAATTTTCCCCTGATCTTTCTGAGAGGAGAAAATGTCTCCAAAATCCTTCATAAGCTAAAATGCTATAAATCATACAATTACCATTAATTTATACGAAAAACAATTTTGAGCAAAATAGCCTTGTATGATATTTGTGCTGCAATTGAGAGGATTATCTCTTATTTCTTCTTTAGGATTGGGTTTCTGGTTCCTTCTGAAGTGTATTTCAATGCTATACTTCTAACGTCTCCATCTAAACTCTGAAATGTTATTTAATAATTATTTCTTAGTTTTCTCAATAGGAGCAGATAGGTTTGCTTATCATCTAGTTCATACTACATCCTCGTTTTTTGAACAGGAGTAGAGGTTTATCCCTTGTTTCTTGTTTAGGATTGGGTTTCTAGTTCCTTCTAAAGTCTACTACAATGCTATTTAATAATTTTTCCCCCCTCAATAGGAGTAGATAAGTTTGGTTATCATCCAGTTTACACTCCTCCCCAAGAGTAGATGATTATCCCTTGTTTCCTGTTTAGGATTGAATTTCCAGTCTTCTCTTTCACTTCCATTAGCCACTTGTGCCATTATCACCTTGCTTGAGGTGAGTTGGTTAAAAAAAAAAAGATTGAAAATTTTCAATGAAAAATATAACTTTAATTTGGAAAAGATTAGTGTAACACTAGAAAAAATGGCTTGGCTGGGATGAAAACGTATTCGGACGTGTCTTGTGTGTAAAATATTCCTAAAAAGAAAATGGCGGCTTTACGAGTCATATATTTAAAACAAGATAGAAAACATTATTAGGGAGAGGGAATGCAACACTAGAAAATATGGCTTACTCCCAGGATGAAAACTGATGATTCGGACGTGTCTTGCATGTAAAATATTCCCAAAAAGAAAATAGCGTCTTTACGAGTTGTATATTTTACAAAAATAGATGTCGGAGTCTGATAGATTTTTCCAAGAATCTCTCTTAACCTATACATATTTGAACTGTCATTCAATCTATAAAAATGCTTAAAGAGACAACAGACAGAAGTGGAACTGCTATAGTAAACAAGGGACAAGTGTTGTCAGATTGTTTGATTTATGCTACTCTCTTGGTTAAAGGTTTAAGGCTACAGATTAGGGAAATTTATTACAAACCAGAAGACACTGACTACAATTAACCAAGGTTTGCAGGTTGATTTTTGAATGCTTCCAAAGAATTACATGATCAAAAAATATTTTAGGTTTAGCAGTCAAGCATACTGTGATCTTTCAAATCTTCCACATCAACTAAGGAAGACAATGTACCTTAGCATTTAACATTGATGCAGACAAATAATATAGATAAATGGTAATTACTTTGCTTTGCACCATTTCTGACAGACAAGACCTATATTAATGTAGGTCTTGCATAAAAGTGAAGTGGTTTGTAAGAACTTTCAAAAAGTGGTTGATACCTGTAATACCATTTTATTTTGTAATTAAATGCATCTGCCAATTCAACCATTTTAAGTGTCCTGGGTAAGACATTAAACCTACACCCAGCAGCAAGAAGTTTTTCTGATCAAGAAGTTTTGAGGAGCATGGAACCACCTCTTAATTGCTGGTGTTCCCAGGTCCACCCTGACCTGGAGTGGTAGCACCTGTTAGGGTCCCAGCTATGGGCAAATAATTAACTATAACCAACACTACTTTTTTGAAAAAAATTATTACCAGCAATACAATTTTGAAGGAAAAATATTACCAGAAACAGATTTTTGACAAAACAAAATATTACCAGCAATAAAAAATTGTTGGCATTAAATAACCCATTGAGGTTGATATGCCGTAAAACAAAATAAACCAAACCAATCTAAACCAAAGAATACATATTCTATTCATATGAATCTATCCTAAAAATGTTGTTGGCATTAAATAACCTATTGAGGTTGATATGCCGTAAAACAAAATAAACCATACCAATCTAAACCAAAGATTACATATTCTATTCATATGAATCTATCCTAAAAATGTTGTCGGCATTAAATAGCCCATTGATGTTGATATGCCGTAAAACAAAATAAAACACACCATTTTAAGATTGTGCCTACTTAAGCCAACATTCTCATGTCTTATCACTCAAGGTTATAACCTAAATTTTTATTGCATCTTCTAGTATAGCTTGCCTACTGGCTGAGATAATTGTTGATTTCTTATTGGCATTTGTTGTAAGTATTCAATCAGTTAAGTACTTTATATGATATGCTTCAGCGATCATGTCTCTTTCAGTTAAGCTTAATAAATATCTTTAACTGTTTTTTGGTTAATTTTGGTTCAGCAGCCAAGATGGTTGCCAAAATGTAACTGTTGTTGTATATGAGCTGCACTTTAGTTAACAGGAAGTAAAGAAACTCTTTACGAACCTCGTGGTCACCAAACTGTTATTACTAGGTCAGAGGTCATATGTTGAACAAAAACTAAAAGTGGTGAGAAAATAAACAAGAGTGCAACAAACCAAGATAGAAATGTATATTCTATTGGGAACATCTTTTGTGTAGTGAAAATGTAAATAATGAAGTAAAAGTTGAAAATTACTCTGCTGGTGAATTAGCAAGTGAGTGAAGTCTACTGTCTATGCCATGTGTGTCTATCACACAGAGCACTAACTTCAGTATCCTGTCACAACTTTGCCCCAAAATGAGAACCAGCCTCTTCAGGTTCACAGCATGCATGCCTAAAATCTTAAGAGGTTACTTCTGCTGTAGGGTTTGTTGTGTAAAAAGATGACCAACGTTCTCTAGACTAATTGTTGAACATAGACTCCATCTTAATTTATGAATAAAACATCTTCTCATAGGAGCAGTTGTCACAAAGTAGGTCACACAGTGTAGTATTTGAGTTGTACACAACGTCACACTAAACTACAGTATTCTCTATTACAGTATTTTTAATCCATGTCTTTCATGTGTTTAAACCTGTTCTTCACTTAACTTTTAGTTTCAGTGTTTCTTTACAGAAACCAGAACTACGAGCATTTCACAAACCTTATAACAGGATTTTTCATGCATGCTAATCTGGCAAAAGGGTTTTAATGTCTGCTACAGCATCATATGGATAGCGGCTCAGATTGAGGAATCGGAGAACTGAGTTTGAATTTCAGTCGAATCCATTTCATTCATTTACACGTTAATAGCCTTGGGAAAAGTATGAATCCTCTTCTTCTCCAGCCAACTATGGGTAAATAGCAGGACAGACCAGGTTCTATAGCCTTGGATGGCAACTGGTCTACTGCAGAAAGAAATGGTTCTATCAAATTTTAATTTTTTCATTTTATCCTTAAAATTTCCAAATAAGTTGTTTTGTATTATCAATAAATTTGCCAAAATTCATGTTAACTTTTATTTTAGATTATTTTTTTACTAAGTACTTTCGAATGTTACTACATTCATTTTCAAGCATTGTTCTGTGTGTAGTTATGCAACTGGTTTTTTATTCCGGCATTTTTATATTTGATAGAACCAATTTCAAGTCACTCAAGGTGATGTCATATTAACGCTCAAACTGAAATTTTTATGTGTGTGTAATATTTTTTTTAATATTAAATGTTTCAATATACACTGTCCTGGGTATGACAATATATACAGCAGCAAGACCTCTCATCAGGAGGTTTTGGTTGTGGAACCACATCTTAATTGCTGGTGTTCCCAGGTCCACCCTGACCCGGAGTGGTAGCACCTGTTAGGGTCCCAGCTATGGGCAAATAGTTAACCCCGAAACTGTGATAAAAACACTATGAAAGTGTAAAAATAGGTTTTAATACCAGAAATACTTTGTAAAAAATTTTTTACCAGCAATAAATTTTTGTAGAAAAAAAAAGCTATTACCAGCAATATACATTTGAAGGAAAAATATTACCAGAAATAGATTTTTGACAAAAACAAAATATTACCAGCAAAATAAATGTTGTCAGCATTAAATAACCCATTTATATTGATATGCCATAAAACAAAACAAACCATATAAAATACCTCTAAAATTTCAATATATAA